ACTGAGCCCTTTGGCTCAACGAGAGCCTTAACCTATGGCAACTACAATACATATGTTAGTATTCATGGATTTAATTTTAATAAAAATTAGCACTTTTTAAAAAAACACTATTATCTTCTTAAAAATGTAGTCAGAAAATTAGTTTTTTTGAATAATCTTATCAAGCAAGAGGTAATGGTAAAAAATGTTAACATTTTAAATGACCCATATGATTTTGGCTTTAGAAAAGCTAGCCAAAACTGTTTCTTCTTAAGAGCAAAAACTACCCATTTAATTTTTTCATTTATTATTACATCTGTTTCTGAATTAAACTTAAGTCACTTTCCTCATGGTTTATACTGTGACAATGACAACAACTGAAGTCCAAAATAAGCTCAAAGCATCCTGCAACAACAAAGTCTGAGGCACCAAAAAACCTTATACTGTATGCACAAGGGAACAGATGGACTGCTCTATGACCACAATTCATGCCTTCTGAATGGATTAAGAAAACGTTATACCATTCTTCAGCACAGAAAGACGAAACGCAACGTTTTGGCTACTGAGCCACCAGAAGAGTCGTTATTTGTTCCTTTCAGCCAGTGCACACTGATGCAGGTCCCTGCTCAGACCTTCTGAATGGAATGTTGAGTGCTTCATGATGGTATGTGAAAAGTCTTAATCTACAATTAACCTCAACTTGATCGTATCTGTAAAACAAAACGACCCTGACACAAGTAAGATGACATCTTAGTTCTTGGCCTCTTATCTTTGAACACATCTACAGTATGTACCATCTGTATGTTGTTTTGTGCAATATTGCAATATGGATTATGACATATTGTAACCAGTCAACATGCAGTTCCATTTAGCCAATAATGGACAGTAAACAATGAGGACACACAGATGACTGGCTGAGGTTACCTGCTTAGTGGCTCCATTATGTCTAGCTATGCAGTCTGCAGATTAGGTCAGTTTTGGGGAGGGGGGTTGATTAGGGTGTCCTCTGTCCTCTCCTCTTGGAGTGAAGAGGAAGAATTAGGCACAGATCTTTGTAAAGAGATGCCCAAACAAGGTAACAAAATAGCAAGCCAAAAGATTAATTACTGCTGCACGAAGGCCATTTTAGTAGATCAATGGTAGAGCCAACTTTAATGACATCCTCCAGGGTGCAGAGCACTGTCATTGAGTTTCCAAAGAACCAGCAATTCGCCTTAATCTTTGAGGACTGAAACAGAACAGGAATGATCACAGAAGAGACAGGATATAAACTGAGAAGAACTCTGTTCTATATATTTGAGGTAAGACGTATTTTCTTTAAATACAGAGCTTCTATCTCTCGAATGTACTAGTTAGAGAAACAGTCCTTCTGACTAAACATCAGTTTCAGACAGGAGATCAGCCTGTCCTGTGAGGGGTCTTTTGTGGCCTAAGCTGCTATGCTTCTGTTCATTCGCATAAGGTTTGGTCCATCTTTGAGGAAACAACTGAAGGTAGCTTTAACTTCTGAACTCAGGGACTGCATTGTTTTTAAATAATCTACCCACAATAGGTTATTTGTTAATTTGTCAACAATTAATTTGTCTTTTAAATTTGTGCCTCCTCATTGCTCTGCAATTCACTGTGCCTGGAAACCACAGAAAAATCACAATCCGCATGGTTGGTTTTTATTCCTCACTACAAGGCATGTGGTATATGGTATTTTGAATTGGTATCAGGATTATTTTTACTTTTAATGTTATTCAACTCCACCCACCATGGATTATTAATACTAAAACTAATTTATTAATGCTTAATTACTACTAAGTGTTATTAGTGAAACTTAGTAATAACTACTGGTGCCAAAACTGTTCATTTGTTGCCTTTCTAGGCCACACAGTTAGTACAGTATCCTCAGATGATTTTATAGAACCGGGTTAGATGCAGCTACCTTCTTTTAATCCACTGTGTGTTGTTTCACCAGCTCTGAGATATAAAATTGTGATTATAATGTGCATAATTGAAAATTATTTCTGTTTCTAGTTATGTAGCAAATCATGTTTTAAAGAGACTTAAAGAAACAAGCTATGTTAACCTTAAAGGGGAACTGCAGTCCCAATTTCTCAGACCAGTTATTCAATCTCAGTAACAAATAAATAAATACAATCATTCACGTGATTTAACTAATTCCAAATTAAGATCAAAATCGTGAACTTTCTGAAAGGACAGTAAGTCGCCATGTTGTCACAAACTCATATGTGACTGCCCATGTGTTACGATGTGAAGCGGCCCTTCCTGCTCACTAGTCTCCATAATGACTAATGTAATGTGATATACTGTACGATTGAATACGAAGAGGTTATGCAGCAGAGACGCAAGCAGAGTTAAGAAGTAGTCGAGAGCAATCTTTCTATTCTTAAAAGAGATGGATTAACAAGCCTGCTTGTTTACAATGTCATAGGGTCGCACATGTCACTGAAAGTTTTGTTGCCTTGTTCTGAATCATAGTGTATAGCGCTGCGCATACCTGAAAATTTTGTGTATTTTGCGATGTAAATTTGAGGTTTTACAAGTTACTGTGGACGATATACTTTCATTGTGCTTTGAAATGCGCTCATCAATGCCGATTCTTTTTAACCCCAAAATATGAGCATAGCGTTGCAGTTCCCCTGTAACTGATTAAGTAATGGGAGAGCAAGGAGTGCCTCCTAGAGGCTGGGCTCTTCCACACCTTGGTACTTACAACATGAAGTCCTGCTCCCAGCATGGCTGATCCCCACGCACTGTGATTGTTGTACTTTTGACATTTTGCACCTTCAGCGTCACATAGGCATTAAACTTATCTGGAATGGAAAAGGGGGGAAAAAAATCACATTAATAGAAATGTTCCAATCTCCAAGGGAATGGTGGGGATGATCCTCTATCAGGAGTACAGTACATGATGGATTGCCCTGGAAGATTGGAACAGGGGGCTGCAGTGGATGTATGTACTGTACAGTTCAACCAGCTGTAATTACTTGAAAATGAAGATATGAAGGCTGCAAACAAGTGGAAGCCTTTCGGGCCACCTGCAATTTGGTTACTGTATTACTGATCCTAAGATCTCCTCCTGCAGCTTGGTGTTGGGACTGGGTTGCATGTGAAATGGTCTGCCAACAGCCGCCCTGCATCTGGGTAACAGCCAGCTTTGAAGCACAGTTTACTCGAGTCAGGGCTTCAGTCTTTTTCTTCCTTGACCAAAAAGGACACACAAGGAGAAAATGTATTTATATATTTTACAAGGTCATATAACTACTATTTTCATTATTATAGTGCTCAAGGTAATGAATAATAACTTCAGGTATCTTTATAGGACAAAAAACTACATATGGGTAAAATGAATTAGTAGGTTTTATATTAGTTTTCATATAAGTTATCACACTCATTATATTGTCAGCTGTCAGCACTCGGCTCTCGAACACTTAATTGCATTAGTTTGGCTCTACCCTCCTGTAGGTGCATATTCAATGATGATTTTTGGCAATTATTTTAATTAAAACAGAAATGAAAAAAGACTGTTGACACCACTGCGCCGCGCTGCAATCAGGAAGGATCACACAGTCTGAAGAAAGCAAGTGAACTCTGAGTAGTCACTGTGAGGCTCTGTGTGGAACAGACAGTGATATAACACTTCACTCCAATGAGATTCATTAAGAGTATCCCTTAGAAAAGCAGAAAAGTGCCTAGATTAACTGGCGAGTGTGTGCTGTGCTTTGCTTATTTTGCACAATGGCACCATGTGAAATTAAAAAGGAGAATATTAGCAGAGGAACTATAAGAAATAGAAAAAACAAACCTGAATCAATGTGATTTAAAGGAAATACTGAAACACATTTCTCATCCTTTCAAGCCACCAATCAATTTAAGCACTTTCACAGTGCGGACTGCAAACAGTCAATATCATTAACTAACTGCTAGAAGGGATAATTGAATATGAGTTTGAAATGGCACACATCACTCAGTTCCTCTCCCTGAGGATAAGTGGGGTTAGAGCAGGTACTGTAGAAGTAATGTAATGACTTCTTATAATTATTCTACATTCTACGCCTGATTTTCAATTTCCTCTCCATTCCATACATTTATTCAACTGGGGATTACTCTCAACAGCTACATTTCATTAAAGTGATTCTACAAGCTTTCAAAAACATTTTAACAAATATACAAATATTAATAAACTGAAATGGGCATTCACAATCAAGCTCTTCTGTGAAGCACTGCTGTATTTGACTAGAGTTTAAAATGTTCACATTCAAATGGGTTCAGAACAGAGATGTTTTTAATAATGCCAGCAAAAGGCACCATGTTTCATGCTCATCGCTCAAGTATTGAAGTAATGAAGGCAAATCAAACTACTGTACAATGCATTTCTTTTCACTTCCTTTAAACTGTCACAATTTTTGATGAGCAATTCATAAACATTTTCAATGAGCAGTCCATGGTGGTTTTATTTCCACAATTTCCCATCATTTTCACCAAGATTACAAATAGTGTAAGGTCACTAGAAAGCACAAGAAACTAGAAATTGCACTGAATGGGTAACAAAAACTACCAAAAAGCAAAGGAAAGGTTACAAAAGAGGGTGGAGATTTGCATCATACAGTATTAACACAGCATCCATTGAATTCAGTGACACATCTTTTCCTATCTTATTCTATTAGTCTTTATTATTGTCTGCTCACAGTGTCAATAAGAAAAAAAAAGCATCAGCATAAAAAGTCTCAGACTTTTTCATGATAGTTTCTTCAAGCGGCTCCTCATCTTAAGTTAAGGTATGCTTTTATTTCTAGCATTCATTGACATTGACCTGTTTTTGGACTAAACAAACTCTCTGCTTACATCTGGTTTTTCCTGTTTACAACTGTTTTTGTGCAATATAGGCTAGGGACTTGTGCAATATATTTTTATATTTATAATGTGCGATACAACCTTTTATTTACTGTCTTGTTTTTTGTATATTCTGTACTGTGAGCAACTTTTTGTTTAGGGCACTTCTCACTGACTGTACCGACAGTATTGTACGAATTGTATTGTTGTATTATTTCGTTACACTGTGCTGTGTTGACTGCGCTAAGCTGCTGTTGCACTGTTATTTCCCTCACGGGATCAAGAAAGTATCTATCAATCAATGCTCTGCATTTGTCCAGTCTTAAATTCTTTGTAATTTTTTTTCCTTTTCAGTTTCTACAGTGTTATCGAATCGGATTTTGTCATCATGTAAATTTCAGTTCTTCACTAATGATAACAGAATCAAGACCACTGATATAAATTAGAAAGAGCAATGGTCCGAATAGCTGAGTACCCCATGGTACTCAGCTTAATACATCCTAATCTAATCATTCATCCCTGTCTGTAATCTGTGCTCTACTTTACATCTATTAGCCAATTCTTACTCCAAATACAGGGGGGCCACGTAGCATAGTGGGCAATTCTCTGGGTTGACAACACGTGGGTTGTGGGTTCAAACAGACTCTGCAGCTGTATTTTGAGCGTACTGTACCCCAGTCACACAGCTGTAGAAATGGGGAGCAGGCCCTGTGATGGGTTGGTTTCCCTTCTAGTGGGGCTGTCATGTGCTCTCTGATTGCTTCACACTTAGAAACCTGGATACACTCTGGCCTGGTGAGCCACTGTGTGTGGCTCAGAAGGAATTAACTACAGTACCTCCTCCACAAACATGCGTTATCTTGAAACCTCTGCAATATTAGAGTTAAACTTTTACGAGGACATTTATTTCTGAAATGTTCCGAAACATTTCTGAAAGTACAAATGCACCAATCAGATTTGTCAATTTATGAAGTAACCAGCAGTTTCTAATATGGATTGAACTGATGGGTAGGAAATGATGTGGGATCTTTATTGTAGAAAGTAATCTTGCTCAAACATTCACTTTGTTTTTAATTAATGCAATGGCCACCGACACTTTCAGGGTGAAAATCTCTATGCCTTTCATAATACAAACACATGGAAATGTTATAAATGCCCAAACAGGACTGACCTGTAAAAAATGGGGTTATTGAACCCTTCATTGGAATTGACAGAAGCATGCCTTAGAGTAGATATGAGTGACTAGAACAGAAGCACAGACGCTAATGCCACCACAGAGAATCTTAACAAAAAAGAGGCTTTGAAGAACTGCTTTGTCAGACCTTTGCACAGCTTCACTTCTCTCATCAAACACTCAATCAGCTCTGTGGTGGAAGAAAGGAGATTCTTCTTAGCAGATTCCCATCTTCTGTCCATCCATCCATTTTCTAATCGCTTTATCCAATACAGAGCCGTGGAGGAGCTGGAGACTACCCAGGGAAGCAACAGGAACTACGCAGGACACGCCCCCATTGCAGACTCGCACCAGACAAACACACGTGCACGTTCACACCAGGACCCATTTTCCTCACAAGCCAATTAACCTACCAGTATGTGTTTGGACTGTGGAAGAAAACCAGAGCACCTGGAGGAAACTCACGTGAATATGGGGAGAATGTACAAACTTAACTGAACTGAGCCCTGAATTGGTCCTGCGAGGGAGCAATGCTAACCACTGTGCTGCCATGCCACCCACCTTCGTACACAAACTCCAGCATACAGGCTTGCGAAATGAGGTTTTGCCATTTGATACGGACCGTATATAATGCAGTACCTCACACACCACTGAGATGACCCGCAGCGTACAAAACATCCCTTTACTAAGGCAGATCAATTTATCAGGACACTGAGCCCTTGTTTAATGTGGCTGTTTAGGCCAGTACAGGACAGCAGGGATTCCTAAATATCAGAGGTTCACAAGCAGTAACAACCACAGAACTGGCAATATCGTATAATAATTTTGTTTTATTTTTCATCAGGGTAGCCAATGTTAAAATTTTAACTTGTGCAGAATGCTTAAAGGACGAGACTGACTTGGTCTGCTTGGAGTTTTCAGCAACCCGGTTTTGAGCATTAATTCCTGACCTCAGAGGAATGCTCTTTGCAAGGGATAAACCCCTGTAAGAGCTGGATTTGTGAAGTAATAGGCTAACTAGAGTGCCATCAAGCTTGATTGTTAACCGTAAACCCATTTTTCTTTAGCTGGCCATTTGGAACATGATTCTGGACCTCCTGTGGGGATTTCAGGGAATGCACAATGCAGGTGAATACAAATGCCAATACACTGCTGAAATTCTCACATTAACTGTAACTATGAGGCTCATAAGGCAGAGACTTGCATCTTGCTTTTTCTTTCAGTTTAATCACAGTAAGTTTAATTCACAGAGCATGAAACCTGACACCTGACAAACCAGTGGCAAAAAACATTCTTGGAATCATCAGAGTGGCAGCTTTTGGACTCATCTCTTTTTTAAAAGTGCTACATTTATCCACTAAGAAACTCCAAAGGAAGTGTGTTAAGAAAATGTTCAGATACTATAATTACCTACAGTACATATTCCTATTCTTCAAGCATCTAAACTGTGTGCAAAACAAGCAGTAAGAGTCCCAGATTTTGTGGGAATCAAAATCCTTGTCTGATCCTTTCCAAACATTTACTGTACAAATACAATGAACTAGAAATGGATTGGGACATTACTTTTAAAATTCCACCTTTTCATCATTAAATCAACTAGGACATTGCAGAAAGCCATTATAAACCACACATAAATATTTTTTTAATTTCCTAATGAAACAAAACATCAATATAAACCAGTTAATGTTCAATGTGTATTTGGTTTGTTTTCATAGCCTTAATTGTGTTAGTCACACTGTCAGTCCAGCACTGAAATTTTAATTTGCTGTAGAGAATTCACACAGTGAGAGGCTGGAAAGCAAGACT